TTGAGACCACCTCTAACCTTGTTCATTATTTATCACTGATCGGGGAAGGTGAAAAATAAACCACCTGGATAGTAAAGGTATGAAACACATAAGAGTCCCTCGCTTCCTCATAGTATGAGTGTGAAGAGAATGAAAAATATCTCCAAGCAAAGTAGGCACAAGATTATGAGTAAGAAATATTTTGATGGGGTTCACATCTATGAGTTAGTCTGGATTCGGGAATAGTACCAAACCATAGATCAACAGAGCCAAGGTCTCCTTGAAAGAATGAAAACTCATAACATCCAGAAACAGCTGAGCCTTCTCTATCATAAATTTAGCATGAAGGCCATTGACTCCACTTCTTGTTTCCCAATTACACACAATGTCGGACCACTTCAGATGTAAGGATGCTGCAATATCTTCATATTTTGGAACTTTCTCTAAGCCGGTGAAGGGTGTCTAATCAAGAATAGGTACTCCGAGTAGCTTAGAGAACTCTTCCATTGTGGGTACCAAGTGATAATCTGGAAAGGTAAAACGGTGATGCTCAGGATCCAAGAACTGGAACAGAACACTCATCATGTCTTCTTCAAAACCTGAGGTAACCAAACTGAGTAGATAACCATGCCTTTTGGTGATTTGAGAGTTTTAGGGAACCTTTAAGACTAACTCCTTAAGTTGGGAAGGTACCCTTAAAAAGTTGATCCAGATAGTGTTACTGCGAGTGGAGGCCATAAACTACAATAAAGAACAAAGATAAATCCCTAGATCCTTGAAATGGTTAGTGAAAATGTTATGTTATGATGAAGTGATGTTATGATGTCATGTTCATGTTAGATAAGTAGAAAACACAAACAAGTTACACAAGAGTCATAGGTTTAAAGGCTTGCCTGAAGTCCATAAGTTAGTACCCTTCCCCATTAAAGTTAAGTTGGATCAAACTGTCCTAAAATAGTAACCGGGTTCTAGGAATCTCGTATCACCTATCTTTCTCGCAGGCTTTATTTTAGCACAGCAATTTGCTTGCCTCCAAAACATTTCGAAAGTCGAATCTCAATGAGCATAGTTTCGAGTATCAACCAACCTTAGACTGCACCAAAGCAGGCTATTTCACAACCTTCTAATGGCTAATATGGGTCAATTAAGGTTCTAAAAGTAAGTTAGTGTTAATGACACCATGCGGAAGCGTAATGTTATCCTTGACTGACTCAAGGAACATCAATACCAACCAAAGTGTCACACTAACGTAGCCACCATGTTATCCATATCAGTCTACGTCGTAAAACCTTAATGATCTATTGCTACTTACCTAAGGTATCCCTAGATCCAGAGATGAGAATTAGATGGAAGATGCTCTAGCTACCTTGGCTTCCATGTACAAAGTGAATGCTTGGAACGATGTACCTCGGATTACAGTTCACTGTCTTGATAAACCGACTCATGTGTTTGCTACAAAGGGGATGTCAGATGAAAAACCACGGTTTTATGATATCAAGCACTTCCTTGAGACTCAAGATACCTGCTTGATGCGTTAAACAAATATAGAAAGACATTGAGAAGGTTGGAAGGTATCTTTTTCCTCAATGAAGATGTGTTATACAAGAGAAATTATGACAGGGTCTTGCTGAGATGCATGGATAAACACGAAGCAGACATGTTGATGCATAAGATCCATGAACGTTCCTTTGGTACCCATGCTAATTGATGTTCAATGAAAAATAAGATGCTTTGGGTGACTTAATATTGGCTAACAATGGAATATGAATGTTACAAATTTGTGAAGAAGTGCCATAAATGCTAGATTCATGCTGATAAGATTCATGTGCCTCTGACGCTTCTCAATTTTATTTCTTCCCCATGGCCTTTTTCTATCTGGGGTATTGATATGATTGGAATGATTGAACCCAAGGTGTCGAATGGACATTGTTTCATCTTAGTGGAAATTTACTACTTCACCAAGTGAGTGAAAGCAGCGTCCTATGCTAATGTCACCAAGAAGGTGGTCATACAGTTTTATCAAGAACAATCTTATATGTCGGTATGGTGTGCCAAGAAGGATTATCACTTATAACGGCTCAAATTTGAATAACAAGATGATGATAGAAATTTGTGAAGAGTTCAATATCGTCCATCACAATTCATCTCCTTACAGGCCTAAGATGAATGGGGCTGTTGAAGTCGCTAATAAAAACATTAAGAAGATCATTCAGAAGATGGTTATTACCCATAAGGATTAGCATGAGATGCTCCATTTTGCTTTGAATGGGTATCGTACATCCGTCTGCACTTCCACATGGGAAACCCTATTCTCTCTTGTGTATGGTATGGAAGTAGTGCTCCATGTTGAAGTTGAGATTCCCTCTTTGCGTGTAATTATGGAAACCAAGTTGTCAGAGGCTGAATGGGTCCACAACATGTTTGACCAGTTGAATTTAATTGAAGAAAAGAGAATGACACCCTTGTGTCATAGTCAGTTATACCAGAAAAGAGTGAAGAAAGCTTTTGATAAGAAAGTCAAGCCTCGTGAAATTAGAAAAGGCGACCTCGTGCTCAGAAAGATCATGTTTTTTAACGCTGATTCTAGGGGTAAGTGGACTCCCAATTATGAATGCCCATATGTTGTCAAGAAAGCCTTCTCTGGTGGTGCATTGATTCTTGAAACTATGGATTATGAGGAGTTCCCACGTCCTATAAATGCTGATGTAGTCAAGAAATACTCCGCCTAAAGAAATAAAAGAACAACTTGCTAAGTTGAAAACCCGAAAGGACGGCTTAACCAAAAAAGAGTGTCTCGGTAGGCTAAAAACCAGAAAGGGAGGTCTAGGAAAAAGTTAGAGACATAAACAAAATAAATTTTCTCTGTAGGTTGAAAACATGCAAGGGCACCCTAGGAAAAAGTTAGGGTTATCCTAACAAGTAACTGTGTCAGACAAGACTCGTTCATTGAAGCAACAATCTTCTCGAATTTTCATCACACAACAACTGAAGCCTCTTCTTATGAGTTCAAAGTTGTTAAGGAGAATAGTTGTCATTGTATTTCAATGTATATTTTCCATGTCTTTACCATTTTCCAAAACTTTTAAATCATCCATGGAGTCACGCCATTCACGGACTACCATTCTATTAATAAAGTTTGAGCCTTTATCCAATTCTTTTTAGTTCATATTTTATTCTATTTACAAAAATTTCATTTATTATTGATAGTAATTTTCAAAACAAAAAGACTTAATAATATAAACATGTTTTTGAAAAGAATTTGAAAATTACTTTTCACCTCAATTATGTGATTCAAGTGGAACAAAAATAGTGATTCCAAGGATGGACGAACTCTGAGGTTTTGAAAAGATTCCCCAAGAGGTGTCCCAGGTTACTCTTGATGATATATGCATAGTCTACTTTTGAGTTGTTCCTTGGACAGTTGGATTTCATACCAATTGATATATGGTATGGTGTTGGGTTTGTAATCCCATTTTCCCCAGTTAAGTATTAGTTTATATTTTCTCCAAGTTGTTATATGGTGTTGGGTTTGTAATCCCATTTTCCCTAGTTAAGTCTTGGTTTAGATTTTCTCCAAGTTGTTATATGGTGTTGGGTTTGTAATCCCATTTTCCCCAGTTAAGTCTTAATTAATATTTTCTCTAAGTTATTATATGGTTTTGGGGTTGAATGGTTTGATGACTCTATCCCATATTCCCTAGTCAGGTAATGATGAAGATTTCTCTTGCTGAGTGTGATTCTTTCCCCAGTTGGTTTATGATAAAATAGAGTTTGTAAAAGTCATGAAGCTTTTTCTCATTCATTGTTTTATTTCTCCATTTTGTGTGTTCAGAACGGATGAAGAATCTCTGATGGAACATTACTCTCTCCAGTTATAACATTTGTGTTTGTTGTGTACTTCTCAAGTAGCAAGACGAGGGGAGTATCTTTTCTAAGAAGTGTTGAAGTAGTTGTCAACTTTTTGGGTTTACTCTCACCAAGTGTTGAGTTTGATTTAAAATCCCCATAATTTTAACTTATTGTTGTGATGTTAACTTCTTAATTCCTCAAATGGAGCGAAGATGACGCTTCTCTCTAAATTTGTTATCCCTATTGTCATACCCCAAATTTGTCCCACCTGTTCACATTTTTATCTGGCTTAGGCTTCACATTTTATTTGCATCATTTTCACTATGTCATTTGCATATCATATATTTCATTGAATAATGCACTTTAGTTCAGAGCATTAGTGGTTGTGCTAGCTAGGGTTTCTATTTTGGTTTAGAATTCTTTCTTCTGATTCTTGAGCATTGGATTGTTGATTCAAAGTTTTGAAGTATTGTTATTATGGTTTTATCCTTCCTCAAGCTACAAAATCATTATCAAGGCTATCTTCTTCATTATTGAGCATCCAAGGCAGGAATTAGGGTTTTCGTATCCATCGAGTTTGCGCTTGTTAGCATTTCATCATTTGAGGTTCATTGGATGTCATGGTAAATTTACCTTGGTCATATTTCTTTGCATCTTCTTCAAGAACTAATCAAGGCAATGAATTTGTCAAGGATTGAAGATTTATCAAGTAGATTTTGATTACTTAAGGAACAAGTCACAAGTCACAAGACATTTGCAAGGCTTAATTCCAATTCAAGTTGCAAGGCACTTTCATTCATTTCAAAGTTTTATTCTAAAGATTTGAAGAATGCATTTTGACAATATTTTAAAAGGAATAAGAAAGGAAAGATTGTGTATACGTTGGACTATGTGAATCAAGAGAAGGAATGTTTTAAGAATTCTAGTTCTAAGATAAGAAGGAAATGAGTATTTGAAGAAGGCATCATCATCATTAAATTTTCAAAGTCATATAATCATTCAAGATTCAATTCTTATTCAAGTGCGTTATAAATTGAAAGTTTCGACCAAGATTCAAGATTTATCCAATTTCCATCGTTATCATCAAAACAAGTTCATTACAAAATGCATTCAAGATTACAAGTACATGAAAACCTAATGCACAAAATCCTTTACAATTTTTACAAAAGCCTATGCATCTTCAAGAACAAGTTTTGTTTGCTTCAAGTAGCCTGTACAAACCAGCCTTAAACATGTCCAAAGAGCCCTTCTATCAAACCTGTTACTGCTGTCCACAAACTTGCTATAATACAAAACATTTTTTTTTGCATAGCCTTGTCCTTATCATGCTACAAAACAGTTGTTGTAGGCCTGCTGCCCCTGCAAGAAAACAACCTATTATGCCATTCCATAACCAGTCCATAAACTTGCCCACTCCACTCCAAAACCTACACAAAAAATAGTCCAAGTATATCAGTCCAAAGCCTGTTGTCCATACACAGAATAAGAAAAACATTCATGCTAACAAAAAGAAGAAAATAAGCGTAATTAAAGTTCCATCAATACTCAAGACTCCCTTTAAATGCCATTAAACCATCAATAATACAACCTTTAATCTCCATCTGACGATGCTCAAAGTTCCAACAACCTACAGTTTACAACAATAATCCATTCACAACATTATTTTTTAATCGTAAAGTAGTAGTAATAACCTATTACCGATACCTTCAACACAAAGCAAAACTGACATTGAAGCACATAAGCTACCACAAGACCTGCAATTAACAAACTCAATGTTTTACGTCATCAATTAAAACCCCCATAGCTTCGAGGTACTGATGCGCTATCACTATAGTGACAACCAAAATTAAAGGTAAGAATAAGAAGATATCGCGTACCGTATCTAAATAAACTCCCGGATAAAACCTCCTCTCCGTTGGTGATCTTTGTTTCGCTCTTTATTCCATTATTTTTACGAGCTCTATCATTTGATTTATATGGCTGTTTCTACTTCTCTATGTTCAGTGATATATTGATGTATAACCGTGAGAATTGGTCGGACATAGAGAGGGTTTAGAAGATAAACCATTGAAGTTTCATTTTTTTTTTGTAAGATCGTGAACTGAATCGATAGTGTAGGGACGAGTGGAAATCATGAGAGAACAAAGGGAGTTTTACCGCGAGAAAGACGAAGTCTCAAGAGAGTGATGGAGATTGAGATGAGGGAGGGAAGAACAGTGAGGACAATGATTGAGAGAGGGAGGCGGAGAGGTTGAATCAGAAAAGGGTTTGAGGAATTTTGGAAATTAAGATGAGATGAGAGAAGAATATAGTTGATAAGATGAACAGTGGGATGTATATTATTTATGGATTGGGAATTTGAGAGAAAAGAAGATAAACTTTGGTCTTAATTAAGTTAATTAGAAATAATTAATCAAATTAATTATTTTCCTTTCCCCATGAAAGCATCCGCGGTGCCCCCTTTGCAAGGATTAGGGTTCCGAAAAATAAAACCTTCCTTATTCCCTCTTAGATGGATCAGGGTTTGGGCCTAGCCCAACCCACTTCACAATTTTTTATTCTTATAGTGTTTGATTAGTATAGATAACAAATGATGTGAAGTGGTGTAGTGGACAAAGCCTTGTGTGTGTGAACTAGTGGTCCTGGGTTCAACACCCAGCAGGGCCGTTTTTAACTTTCTTCTCCATTTTTTTTGTTTTTGTCTATCCAACCTCATACTTATTTATTTGTTTATATTTTTTTAATAAATAATTAAATGTAAAATATTTATTTGTTTTTTTCTTGCTTGCAATTTTTTTAAGTTAAGAAAAATTTCGATTTTATTTCTTCACATGACAAAAATGCAAAAATATTAGACTAGAATTTAATATTTCTCTTACTTTTAGTTATTTGGTCGATTCTTGATGCCATTTTTGCTTAAGAGATTCTACGAAATGATTAGTCGTTTTGCATTGAATTAGACCTTAGATTAGAACCCATGCATGACAACTGTAGGATATAATTCCCCTCTTACACTCGACATTAGGTCCATCTTTATACTTAACAACAATTAGGGTTTTTTGTAGTCTCCCCTTTAGACTTTTCACTTGTAAAATATTAAAATTAAAACTTCTCACCCACAAATCAAAAATCCAAAACATTTAATCATTATTCAAACTCATTTCAAAACTCGCTAAACACTCAACAAATCAAAATCTCCCCAAAAGGGCATGTTATCTCTGTTCTACCATGATACAGGCCGTGCCTATTTCTAGAATGCGTGCGCTAACGTCGCCAACTAAAAACACCACCAAATAAACATGTTCTAGAAGAACTATGGTGTTTCTGATTCCTTCACGGGATACGTAGGCAAAGGGCTGCGATTCCCTCACAAACACACTTATAAAAAACCATTTCTTTCCCCTTAGAAAGTATAGTTATAGATAAACACACCCTTAGAAGCAAATAATCAAAATGGATCCCGTTGAGTACAACGAATGTTAGGGGTGATAATACCCTCCCCTTGCCTAATCGACTTCCTTACCCTTTCTCTTGGTCACAAGACCATCTTATCCATCCTCTTGTGGTTTTCCAAATATTTCCCCTTCCTTCGGGATAAATAAATTTTGGTTGTGGTTCTGTGTTTTTGTCGGTAGCTTCAGTTGGTGACTCTGCTGGGGAATATTTGCATCTATATCCTAGTTTTGTTTATTTGTTTCTTTGGGTGTTTATTTATTTACTTTATTTGCTTTAGCGCATTATTTCTTTATTGCTTTATTACTTTCTTTTGTATATATTACATTATACTGTTGCTACTCATATATTCTGGATATGCTATATCTTTTATGATCTTGGGTTAGGCGATTACATTTTATAAGTCCTATACACGGGCTTGGGGTTACATTTCGGATTAGGACGGGCGGTATAGTCATGCTAACTTTGAGGGAGTAATCCCGAATAAGTAGGCATGAGATCCCTCACTCAGTGGAGGTCCCCTTGAATGTAGCAATGTTTACCGAGTAATCAGGAAGACATTGTTTCTTTCGACTTGGGAGCTAGAGAAGCTGAGAGTTATAGAACCATTAACCCATCCATTGTTGCTTCCTACGAATATTACTGATTACCGAGTAATTTGGATGCCATTAATATCCAAAGGGAGAGCGTAGACTCTGAGGTTTCCCTAGAACCTTGTTCGGCAGGTGATAAACCCCTAGTACATACCTTATGTATGGTTACTTTGACTCCATTCTTGTAACGTGGGACCTTTGATCATGTTACTTTCAGCTTATGCAAAGGACTACGCAGTGGTTATCCAAAATATGTGGAGTAGAAATCTCATGACATAGCATACCATGACATTATACAATCATGTATATACATCTCATATTTAAGGAATTCCAAAGACAAGTCTCGTTGGTCGAGCTCTTCAAAAATAAAAACAATATTTTTAAAAGATAGACGAGTTTTTGGATTTCCTCGGAAATGAAGATAAAACATTCATTCATATTATCATGCACTCATTATTCACAACAAAAACTTATTGGGGTCCCTTTTCCATCAGACTCCAGTGACCAACAAAGACGACTTCTCTACATCCTTAACATACAAGAAGAAACCAGCGAAGATTTATGGATCTTTTCGAAGAATATTAGAATGCTCTCTGCCGAGATATGGACACCATGGGCACTTGAATGGATCCGCTTATGGAAACCCTTCATGTTGTTATCAAGGGTCAAGAAGAGCTACATCAAAGTGTTACCAAGCTTGCCACTTCTTCCCCCTCCACTTCTGCAAATGGAGGGAATAATAATGAAAATGTTGAGACCCCTACTAGAGTTCCTCGGAATGATGTTGATGATCATCACAACATCATTGATCTTGATGAGCCCCGCGTGGATCTCACCGCTAGAGTTGCTGAAACTGAAATAATGTACCATGCTCTTGAAGAGCGTCTCAATGCCATGGAGGGTATCAAGACTTTGGTATTTAATACTGCTGCTGTAATACGGTGGGATAACTGACTTGGTGTTTTTGCGTTTGATCGTAATTGTTGCGGATAGCGAGAGTAGGCACCGACTTTTCTTTGATCCAATAAAGGAAAGGGTGAAAAGAACAGGAAATACCTTTTTAGAATTTTCTTGAGTTCGGGGGGGGGGGGGGGGGGGGGTAAGTTATGAAAAGGGAAGGTATTAGAACCCTTTCCATCTGTAGTTATCTACGGGCTCTTAGTTGCTAGCTCACTTTGAAATGCTTTGTTCGAAATGTGTTTGTGATAGTTTTGAAAGTATTTTTGAAAAGTGCCTTTCGTTTAGGTGGACTTTGTAATGATTCTTGCCTCTATAAGAATGTATACAAAGTGTTTACTTTTGAAAATATTTCCTTTGAAAGTGTTGGTGTGTTTGAAAGATGTTTTGAAAATGGTTTTGAGCAAACAACTACGAACATTCTACCTACTCAAAAAGTCTTAGTTCTTTTCCTCCTCCTTTGGATATTTCTATCTTACCATTTGATTGATAAGAAGCCCTATCATTGGATGTGAAGGGACGAGAGTGGGTGATCATCTTATAGTCATAGAAAGCAACATTGTAGGATACCTCAGCAATTTTTGTAAGGGTCTAAGATCATTTATAAAGGCAACATTTGAAGGGTCATCGAGGGACTATGATCTTGTTTTTGATTGTTTTTGCTAAAGTATCCCATGTTTGTGTAACATGACTATTTTTATTTGAGGCAACAAGTGTGGGTTACTCTAGAGGTGAAAGTGTGAAAAGTGTTTTTTTTCATGCATTTTTATCTTGAATTAGGATTGTCTACTTGTTGATTTTATATCTTTCCATACAAACCCTAATTACTAGCAATAATATGGAAAATGATAAATTGAAGAAATAAAAAAAAGTCTTACGCTATTAAAATACTTTAGGGGATGGGGATTACAAATTACAAATGTGGATGACAAATGAAAATAAACCCTAACTATTACAAGTATTTGACAATTACAGTATAATGTACAAAATAATAAAATGTGCAAAGAAATATAGACAAAGGAAATTGGAAAGAAAATTGTTTTTGTTTGAATTTTGATGGAAAAAGTTTTATATCTAATTTTAAAGGAAAATAAAATTGATTGAAGAAAAACCTAGTTCTAAGCTAAATTAATTGTTTAGAAAAATGTTCTTGATATTTTACTTAAAAAGTGTTTTATAGGGTAAGATCATCTCCTAGCGATGCAATATGTCCAATGTATCCTTAATGGTTCGAAATCACAACATGATCTTAAAAATCAAGAACTTTGGTGCCCGGGCTGACACAGGCCATGTCGTTTGACACGTGCACCTGTGTCAAAATCTTCCTTTTGCTCCTGCATGTTTTCAAGTTCCAAGTGAATTGACACGGGCACCCATGTCGTGTTATGTCATGCCTTATTGATCATCTTCCTCCCTGACACGGCCCGTGTCAGCCGATA